CAGACGAACACCCGAGAGGCGTTTGCCATTGCGCCGGATTCAAGGGTCTTTTCAACGAGGGAGCGAGAGAGTGCGCCCGTCCATGGATTATGATAGAGGTTGGATGTGTGGATGACACTTTTGGCTTGATCATTGAGAATGCGGAGGAATTCGGGGTCGCCGTGGCCCAGTGCTGTCACGGCGATTCCGGCGGTGAAGTCGATGTAGCGGCGGTTCTCGAGATCCCACAGGTGCGAGCCTGAGGCTTTAGTGAAGACCGGGCTTGGACGGACATACGTTGCGACCATGTACGGGGTGTGGGAGCCGATCAGTGCAGCCGAGGCGGAGTCAGCGGCAGGGTCAGCATTGGGGAGACGGGCTTCGTGCTAGGCTCGTCAGGTTCAGCTTTCCAGAGGCCGCGGGGGAGGGGGATGCATATGAGTTACCTGAATTTGATCCTGGACCTCCTGCGGGAGATGTGAGGATGCTGCTGATAGCGCTCGCGTCTGGAATTGGAATTGCGCCACAGACCTGGCCGAGCGGGCCGCCAGCAGCTGGGCTGTGACTCGCGAGCGAGCGATGGCTGCAGAGAATGACATTCTCAATACCACCCTTTTCTGCTCGTTCCTCTTCTAGTGAGCTTGTTGCGGTGTAGGCTCCCGCCTCGCACTGCTGCTGTAGCGCTGCGTAGTCCTGGACTCCGGATGCAGTTGATCCGGACAGCTAACGCAACTGCGGGGCAAAGGGGGCGGGGAGGGGAATGGAAGGGGAATGGAAGGGCGAGGAAGAACTGGGAGGGGGAGGGCGGAAGAGAGGAGGGCCACGAGCAAGATATACGAGTAGTTGTGAGAGGAGCTCAAAGCTGCCGTGGGGCCTGAGTCATGCGGTGGCCTCCAGCGAGCGCTGCTGCACTTGCATTTATGATAGCCCGCGCGACATGCGGACTTACGAGCGCCATCGCACCACCTGCTGCATCGCACAGCAAATTGACGCCGAGCAAATGTCCACTATTTCTCACAATTTTTCTCGAGACGTTTCTTTTTTTGTTTTTTGCTTTTTTTTTATCTCGCTGGCGTGTCACGCCATGGCTCGTTTCGGCCGCACCAGCAGCTGCATGTAGGGCGATTGGCTGCGGGTTTATCTGATGATCGGATAGACGGGCCACTTGGTTTGACACAAGTGCTACTAGCTATAGCGTCGTTGGTGGAATATGATATGATATGATATGTTCGGTTTTGCATACATGAGTTTATTCCTGAAAAAGGCATCACTACAAAGCAGGAACCGCTGGTGACAAGCGCGGCAGAAGTACATCCTTAAACAATCACATACCAAGCGTCCATCAGCCTGAATCCGTTCGTTACCTTTTCCTTGTCTGCTCATTCTTGATACCTCTCCAATATATTTTTCAGTAACACATTTTTCCAATGACTAGCATAGCTGCCTGCGGTCCGCCTGTCGTTTCCGACGGCCTTCTGGACCTCCTTCCATTTGATATCCTTCGTGATAACCTGCAGCATTGAGGCGATCTCTTTGCGCCGGAATTTTGTTTCTGACGGGCCACCAATGCTAGACCCTTTCGCCCCGTGACTCGTATATGACTTTTTTCCTATTGCTTTGGAGTTCTTCGAGGGGGCAGGCATGAACATTTTTAGACTGGATTGGCGCTTTTGGGCGTGGGTGAACAGCGGCTGTGGAATAAGTCACGATTAGCATGAACCGAGTATCAGCAGGTTACCGGGTAAGCACGCACCTCATCATCGTCGGAGATAGGAGGCATTATTGTGCTAGGTTCAAGGAAGGTTGGAGAGGCCCCTTCTTGTTTTAGTGGATATTGCTGAGGTGAAGTTGTCATTACTGGTTGTAATGCAGGAGCCGCTTCTACACGCATAACATTTTCAGAAGCACCCTGACTGGTATTATTCCTCAGTTGCGGAGGAAGAATAGCTGAAAGTAGCTCCTCTGTGAATCCAGCTTCACTGCCGCCTAGTTGTTTCTCCTCTCTCGATAGCGCCCCTGCTGTACGGTCAGGTTTGTCTAGTGTTGACGACTTTTCCTGTTGGGCCCGTGAAGATTTGAGATGTTCATCCAAAGCCTGCAATTGTTAACTGACTTTTTCACGAATGAGAATCTGTCAGGCTCACCTTCATTGGCCTTTCGTTCACCTTGCACCCCAACGTTCGGCCAGCCCTCTTCGTGGCACTGTTCTCCGAGCCTCTGCTAAGCCTCAAGAAAGGTCGGCGGTGCCTCTTCTTACCCTTGCCTCGTCTGCTCTTGCCCTCGCACTCATCTGACACGCAGTTAAGGTCATCCTCTTCAAAGTCGTCGTCATCATCATCATCCATATCATCATCGTCCACATGGAAGTCCTCATCGTTATCATCATCGTCATCGATATCCATATCCATGAAAGCATGGTCTTCGACTTCTGCAGAAACAACCGGTGCATGTATCCTTGTTGCCACGGCAGCAGCTGGAGTTTCCTGTTCACCAGCCTTGGTGCCGTCGCCGATACCTCCCTCAGGCTCATTTCTGCACACGATGGTTCCCTCGGGTTCGTTTTCGGCGGAAGGAGCTAGGTCACTCTCCTCGCTCTCTTTGTCGTTTAGGTATTCTTTGTAGGCTCTCGATAGGCGTGCGGCGCCCTCCAGACCGGCTTGTCTACGTGGGCGGCCGGAGGCATTGGATATTAGAATCGGCTTTGCAGTGAGAAAGGGTGCCGATGGGGCATGTTGTGGTCCTGTAGTTGCTACATATCTTCATCAGGGGCCCTATAGGGGAGGGATCAATTAAAGAATATCCATCTTCATCTACTCACCTGATTTATCGTCTACGTCATCGCCGTTCCAATCCTCAGCACGCCAATTTTTATGGCCTGTCGTCTCAGCGGCAGCTCCACCACCGCTCGCCGGCGCTTCCTTCGTTGTACTTTCTTTTTTTGCTCTTGTAACTGAACCCGTCGACCCCGTTTTCTTGCCCCTCGCAGTAGAGGGCCCAGCACTCGTCGTTCTGGCACGAACAGCATCACTACTATTCCCTCTCTTGGTGTTTGTTGTGGCATTGCGGTGTTGTTGACTACTGATCTGGCTTTGGGGGCTGGTCTGGACATTCCTGCCGGAGCGTGTGGATGGCATCCCTTGTTTCTCGTTTTTCGATTATTCTGGGGTGAAACAAACAGAATTGTTGATTGGATTAAATGAGAGCGGGCTGGAGTTTAGGAGCTACAAAGATACTCTCGAACGCAGGCTGGTGCTCTCTAACTTTTCCGAAGTGAAGGAATATTATGAGGGAGAAGCGTCTTAAGGAGAACGAAAAGATGGAGTGGAGTGTTTGTTATTGGATGTGACGCCGGGAAAAGAAGGTTTTGGTATGAAAATAGACAAGAGATGTCATGAAATCATTGTGCTAGGTCTGCACCGGGATGGAAGTCCAAACGAGCAAACGAGCAAACATTGGGAATGGCATGAGAGGCGGGAAAGTGCATGGCGTAAGTGGGATTGGCTGGGATTAGGAGGGGGTGTCCATTAGCAACTGGGATGCTGTTATGAATATATTCTCATTCCTTTTGATAATTGGGATTAATAGAGCATGAACCTACAAAGGCCATCTGATGGCTACTATGGCCCCGTTCCTTCTATAATAATATGCCAACTATGCAGTATCCAATGTCCTCTCCACCGACCCCTCATTCTGCTGGGCATTTTCCCCAGCAGACACCTCCTCTAACCTTCCCGTTGGCCTTCCACAGGCCTCACAGACCTCACCTTCCTTCTCCCCATCTTCCCCAATCGTCTCCCCTACCTCCCATCCGGAAACGCCTCTAGCAACAACCTCAAAATTACCGTTCCATACAGCGTCCTCAGGTTCCCTGGCTGCCTGTACAGCCCCGATGCTTCTCCCGACGTTTGTGCAATTGCCTCGTAGCTGAGTTTGTTAGTAATGTACGTCTGGATCGCGCGAACTTCATTGCGGCTGTAGGGACCCGCAACTTGGCGACCGCCGCGGAAAGTCGTTTGCCTTGCGGGTGTAGGTGTGGGTGTGGTGGAGGACTTGGCAGGGTCGGTCAAGGGGGTGGCTGTGGGTGCAGTGGAGATGGGGAGGTGGGAGGGGAGGGAAGGGGGGCGTTGATAGTGGCGCGAGTTAGTGGATCACCTTTGTTTTGCTTCTTTTGGGGCGGTTTTCGCGGTGCTGTGTTTTTTTTGCCAGCGGCCTTGAGTGTGGAATCCGCATGTAATATATAAGGGTTAGCCATACGTATACGAGGGTTTCTAGACATCGAGCCTAGGTAGTGAGCAGATAATAAAGAGGGGATGATTTGGATACCTTTGCCTTCTTCCCCATTTCCCTCTCCTTCACAGCGGCGGCTTTTGTCTTCTCGACCTTGCCCTTCCCTCGCTTCTTGGTCTTCTCAACTTGCGATGCTTCCGGAAGGTCGGCGGTAGCGTCCTGCTTCCCTGCTTCCGGATCCCGCCTCTTCTCCTTCATCGCCTGGGGCACTGTGGGGGCTGCATCAAGTTCCATGGGATCTCTCCCATTCGTAGCCGAGCTTCCTCCGTTCAAATCCAAACCTTCGGAGTCTGGGACCAGGGCTGTTGTTCCAACTTGAGCCATCTTGGAAACAAATCAGTAAAATCAATAGTGTTATGATCACTGACGGAGAGGGATTGTAAATGTATATTCCAGTAGGAATGGATGCTGGCGGCGGCACCCTTATATTTATCCTACTTCATAAACTAATGTATAGCAAACTATGGTCGTCGAAAAGCCCTAGTTCCCTCGTGAAGGAGCGCAAAAATGAGTTCGTTTGCTTTTTTGCCGTATCCTCATGGAGGATAGATTATAATAGATTCCAGATGCTGCCAGTCGGCCTCAGCATAAATATTGTTAGTATTACAACTCAGCTTATGATTCGAGTGCTGGTTTGGGAAGTAGATTTCCTTACTTGGTACGATGACGTAATGCGGTTGGACTATATGTGCCTTGGCATTTGTAGATATTGCTTTATTCAGCTTCAACGAAAAGGATGGTTGGCCGAGTGGTTATGGCGACAGTTTTAAGTACTAACTAAGTACGATCACTGTTATCGAGAGATGCAAGGGTTCGAACCCCTTACCATCCAATATATTTTTGCCCTTTGCGATTCCCATTTTTCTCTAGGGCAGGTTTCTGGTGGCAAGGCCAACCTTCTCTTGGTCAGTCATCTGACCTGCCTTCCCTGGTTACAGTCACGACCAGGCAGTGAATAAAGGCACTCTTCGGTACCATCGTCAAAATTGACCTACTTGTGTAGATCTTCCTCACTTTAACTTGCTACCATGGCAATTCTACAATCTCCCATAGTACCCCTGAAACACTAAATTGAGCCACCTGTTCACTTTCTCTGAGATCCAATTGAGCCTGCCATTCCAGAGCAGGAACGTTTTTTCCCTTAATGAAAACGGAGCTAGATGTCAATTCAGCGGATTAGCGCAAAATATTTGAGCAATGGAGACGGGAACATTTACAATTTCAATATTGCCCTGGCTATAGAGGAGTGAAATGGTTGAACGCTCGGCGCTACAAATTTTCATTTTCTTTCATTTTCATGTATTCTTGACACGAGAGCTTGATGGCAAGTATAAATTGCTACTAAAACTCCATCCTTCCATTCAAAACTGCCACCTCTGAACATTCCCGCTTTCCGTTTGAGCTACGGGGCTTTTAAAAAGAAGAAAAGGTTGACCCCTCGCATTAAGACTAAGCCCCATCAAGTTACCACCTCCAGCATGCGCGGGAGCCAAAGGAGATGACAATCGCACAACTATCGAGTATAATTGCGAAATGGCTCCTCGCTCTCCATAATGTCTAGAAATACGGCCCACCTTTTGCCCCCCCCCTACAACCCCACACCATATGCCCCAGAGGCGCTAGGCCGTCTCTACAGGCCTACAAATTCGCTGCGGGCTTATACCCTCGCCACTTGGTGAGCAAAGAGCAAGATTCATGACAGCCGACCAAGAGTATAGAGTGCATTTTTGGTGTATGCAGGGCTGTGAGTCAGTAAGTCAATTGACAGACAGAAAGTGAGAAGTAAACCGCAAAACTTCGATACCGGTGCGTTTCTGCTTCGACTTGACAGAGGCAAGCCGATGTTGTCCGGGGACTTTCTCCCAAAGCATTATCAAGTGTAGTATTGCTAATTGGGACTTGCGCAACCCGAGAGTAGGCAAGTCTCCGTTTGTGAGCTTCGAAGGCAATTGATTGAGCGAGATGGTGGAGAGGAAAGGGAAGAGTGGGAAGAGAAGATTTTCGCTTTTGGATATATAAACCCTGGGGATGCATTGGGCTTGGCAGTGGGTTTCCGAGGGTGCAACTACGGTTACCCTGAAGCTAGCGATGCTACCGAAACTCTGCAATCAGCGTAGCCGAAATAGACGAGATTATGAAGTGGGCGTCATTGGGAGGCTGTGGCGCGGGGGGAGGTTAAGATTGAGTTGAAGGGGTGAGCGGAGGATGCCTTCAAGAAGTGCTGGAGTTGTCAATTCCGAACTGACATATGGTCGGTTAAGTGGAATGGTGTTCTATTGATGGAAGTAACAACAAGCGCTATGGAAAGGTGCAGAATTGAGGGCCCGGTTCAATTCTCACGTCGAGCGGTGAAGAGGGTTGTCCAGAATCTTGAATAAGTAAGATGGACTGTCATGCTCCAGTTCCGGCGATAATTTTTTGGGAGTTGGAATTCAACTTCACTAGTACTGCGTAGTTCGCTGGACTAGTGGAACAATGGCCCGCTGCTCGACAAAAGGCTCACATGCAAGGATGTATATAAGTATCAGGTGCCCGTGACGATGCGTGGGAATACCTCTTGCGTGCAGGAATTATTACAATACAGTCCGACCTTGCTATAATGAACACGTAAAATTTGGCCCTTTGTTTTCACTATAGCAAGGTTTTCAGTATAGAAAATTGTGGCAAATTAGTCATATAGTCTTGGCAGCTGAGTTCGGAGTCTTGAACAACTCTCAATAGTGGTTATCAGCTTTGCGTTACGTTCCGTTCCGTTAGGTAACCCCTGTCAACCCGCTAAGCCCAAATGAGAGGAGGGTCGCTGATGTCCCCCGCGTAACCTACGTTACCGTCACGTTCCGTAACATCAACATGCCCCGCATATCAGAGAGAGCCAAAATTGAACAGGTAGTCACGACAGCAATCGAGACTTATGCCATATCTATGCTACTTAATTCAGATACCAGAGGGGGTAGCAGAGCGTGGAGTAACAGCTTGTGAACTTGCTGTGATTGTAGCAGATGTTTGCTGGCTCATGATGGTAGAAACTGGAGAGCTTTCATGCCTAGATTTGGGATGCTCATGAAGTGGTAGACATGTGCTTATGCATATGCATCCATGTATTGCTGATTTAGGTAAAGACCGGTCCAAGGCCCCTGTAGTCAACTCAAAACCAGGCGCATATCCTTGGCGTTACCCAAAGTTACGCAAGGTTATGGTCGTAACGCTACGTGATCATGGTTACGTTGCGTAACGAAGATCGGCTGTCTCACGTTACGAAATCAGCCAATCAGAGCATTTGCTTATGTCATGTAACCTCACGTAACGGTTACGTGACGCAAAGCTGATAACCCTTAATACTAAATTAACCTTTTGTATTGAGTTACTAGTAATGGCAATAGCCACATTAAGAAATCATTTTGAATGGGACAGTGGTGGTAGTGATAAATAGGAATGAATATAGAAGTGTAAGGAGCAGTGGCAGTGGAAAAAAATATATAAATTAGAAGTAAATCAGGAGTAGATTGAGATCTGTCGTCAGAATGCTAACAGTCAAGATGTCTACTAGCAAGCGGCGGGCATTCATACCAATAACTTACCCGGAAGGAACAGACATTCACAACTTGGTTTAAACCAACTCTAGTACTTAGTGACATAGTTGCTGTTTCCTGAGCTGCTCAAAAATCACTGGTGCACAAGAGTTAAGAAAATTGTAGGGGGGTTTCTACGAATTTCATCAGCCACTTTTCATTATAGCAAGAACAATTTGTATGTAGATAAAAATAACTTCCTAGAGTTTTTTTTTTTCCATTACACTATTTGGTGCAATTTCATTATAGCAAGGTCAAATTGCATGGGAATGGAAATCCAAGAGCACAGTGTATTCATAATAGCAAGGTTGCCCAGCCTTACTTACATATTAGATCACCAGGTGCTTATATCGCTGCATGCATGTGGCACTTGCTCGGACAGTAGTCTAGATGAATTTAAACTGAATCCATCCTCTTTACAGGTGGACAATAATACCGGCAAGAATGTATTAATTGAAGGACTTCTTGATAAATTAGTCTCATGCTATTGAGATCTTTCATTTGTCAATGTTACTAGAGTACCCTTATCAACCTGCGGGTGCTTATCACTATGTCTGGATTTTCTACATCACCAACACACGTGGGACCAGACTTGGTAACTTATCCTAGTGTCGCCCCGAGACTCACGCTCACGCTGATGGCTAGATGTAAAACACTCAAATCATCGCTTATCCAAGGGCTTCAAGCACGTTAGTAAGAAGTTCTACTACCCAGGACATACTGTACAGTCCACATACAGTCTACCCTTGCTATACCGGATCGCTAAAATCTGGCACTTTTCGTCCGGTATAGCAAGGTTCCGGTATAGAATAAAATGCTTGGCAGACAGGGGGGTGATAAAATTTTGTAAATTCAAATTCATTACTGAAATAGGAGATGAACGAAGTAAACATCAACTTGTTCACACTCAGCCAAAGACATCAATATGCATCGCTCACGAAATCTCGAAAAACGCCGGGTCTTAAGTGTGCTTGAGAAGCATCAAATATGTAAACATTGACTAGAACCAAAATATGCTAAACAAAAGTTAAGTGAATTTGATAAACATTTTTGAGATGAATTGGTAAGATTACTGTACTTTAACTTAACTTTGATATCCTAGGTATCTAATTTATTATTTTAAGCTGACCAGTAGCTGTATCTACTTAGTCAGTTATTTTGAAACAAAGTGGGAGTGGTTAGCGATTAATCTCGGAACATGGAACAAGAAGTAACGAAGTGCTCAGTTTCCATTACTCGAACAACATTGTAGCAAGTGATGGTAGCAGCAGTAGCAATGGCATTAGCAGAAGCAGTGACAGCAGAGGTGGCAGCAGCCAAGTGTGAAATGGAGTAATCTAAGATGTATTAGTATTAGTGTGTCCGGTATAGCAAATATTATTTGTATGGAGGCAGGGGGATACTTGTCTGCAGGTTTCTATCCGGTCCGGAATTGTTAGGGCGTCCGGTATAGCAAGGGCGATTTGTATGGGGAACGGATGTCGCAGACAGAGGCCATCCGGTATAGCAAGGTTTCCGGTATAGCGAGGTCCGGTATAGCAAGGGTAGACTGTATATTCAAGTAGGGTCACCGTGATACGAGACTATGTTTTAGGGGTCCATCTATCAAATCGGCCCACGATCTGAATACCGTGAGCGGGAGAGGAGAAGAGGGGTGACTTGCAGAAGACAGGGCATCCAGTAATTAAACTTTCAATCTTGAGATTGACATTGACTTTTGGCAAAGCCACACCCTCAAGGATTGTATCGGCTATCCAGTATTGGACGGGATTGTACTCCGTAAGAATGTAGCTTCTCACCTCCGGTCAATGAGCTGAACCTCATAGGGTCAAAATTCAACCTTCCTCGTGGGGCTAAAATTCAAGATGCCAAAAAAGAAACGGATGCTGAAGGAGAGAGGGTTTGGGCTCCTAGCGTCGCCACTCCAATTTCATGCGACGCTGACTAAGTCTGGTTACGAGACTAGAGGGTTTGTATTCGCCGGAGAGTGTAGATAGTTCCCCAAAATAATCGAGCGAGCAAATAAACTCTCTTCTCTGCATAAACTTTAGAGGGATCATTCGCGGCAGTGGAGGCCCTAACAGCGCAGCTGTCTGCATCCTCGAGACACACACCCCCAACGTCCAAGACCCTGTCTGCGAGCTCACAAGCATGGTGCTTTCCAGACGGAAGGGTATGGTGGAGTGCACCTAGAAGGGACCACTTGTTACATTCCGTCGCGCGCTGACTAATACACCTTTTTTTTTTTTTTTTTTTTTTTTTT